TCTTTGTACTATTTTTTATGTTGAAATGGTTTTGAATATGATATCTTCTAAAGGATTGCCATGAGAAGAAAATATCTATTGAAAGTGTAGGTTTCTTATATCTTATGCATATGCAAATTGTTAATAACTTATGCTCTTCAGTAAACACTGAGGAATAAATATTTAATCTGTGAATAGATTTAAGTCAGTTCTATGAGCATCATGAAAAATGTTTTAGAACTTAAAATTCATTATCAAATCTTAAATACAGTTAGCTATTGTTTACTGATATAATATGGATATATCCCATGTATTTTACAAAGCTGAAATATAGCACCACAGATCTAATTTCTATTCTTGACTCTATACTTCCTTATCGCCCTCACTCTATATTCCTAGACACATAATAATTGCACTACATATTTAAAGCACATTTAGGCTCTCTTAAATCATGCAAGATTTATTTTGATATTCTTTAGCAACACTAAACGCCATAAATAGTCACGCCCGGGAGAGTAAGTAATGGCAATTGTTGGGCTCAGCTGGATTTATGGCCCATGTCTGATGATGTGTGACAAGTATCAGGCTGTTGAAATACGTGCGGGTGCCGCGGAAACTACGAAATGCAAAATCAACAAACAACACTTGATGATATTGTCACGTTTCAGTTGGCCAAAACAGGAAAAACGGAAAAGCGAAAAAATGCAAATGGCAAAGTGCCTAGCTCAGGCGGATGAAAGGCGCGACGCGTGCAGGTGCCACACGCTGCGTATGCGCAATTTGCAGAGAGCTGCAAAAATGTTTTGGCGCATCGAGTCCAATGCCAGGCGAACATAATTTTTTTTTCCTCTTGCTGGCTATCAACAATCAGGCTAAAAGCTAGGCGCAGGTGTGCCACTCACTGTATGCTTGCTTATTTATGTGTGGGTGCATGGGGTGTCTCGCTCTGTGTGTGTGTGTGCGTGTATGGCATATGTAACAATGTTTGCGTGGCCAGATTCAGATTAAAAATTATGCTTTGTTTGCCAACTGTCAGCACAAAAAGCAGCAGCGACAGCGCAACAAAACAAAAAAAATACTTTTTGGCCCACAATGACAACAAACAAAACGAAAAGTTGCCAAAAAAAAAACTTTCTTTTTTTTGGGAAACGTCGAGGTAAGCTAGTCGGTGTATGTGTATATGTGTGTGTCTTACCTTGCAATGGAAATATGTGTCAGCTGATGGCCGTCATAGTCGTTATGTCATATACAATAATAATGCGAACTGACTCGACTACATGGGCAACGAGGCCTGAATATAATCATCTTCTTCTTCATTCTCTTCTTGTTCGCTTCGTGTTCATTTTTATTTAAGTTTTCTGTCTGTTCGCTTTCGTTCTGTGTTGGTCGTTTTGCAAGTTGAAGTTTATTTTGTAAACATGCCACTAAAAGTTTTCCACTTTCCTCTAAAATACTCAAACCAAATGCCAACACCAGCGACAACGTGTCGCGCTCTCTCTCTCTCTCACTGTGTATATATGTCTTCCACTCTCTTTTGCTCACACTGTATATGCCTGTGTGTGTGTGTGTGTTTTTAGTTAATTTAAAAAGTTTTTCGGCTGCTTCTGCTGCTGCTGCTGCTGCTGATTCTGTTTCTTGCTTTCTTGTATTTTCAATTCGTTTCTGGTTTTTTGTTTGATTTGCAGCAGTCAGAAAATTGGTAAACGATTCGTCGCAATGCTCTGCCTGTTCCACCGCCCGCCCCTCTTCGCTGTACGGAATTCAGCTCTACAGTTGTGGTTCTATTTGGCCTGGGAAATGTGACATTTGTGCGCCTTTTATTTTGTCAAGGAATTGCTTTTACAGTTTTTGGTTCGTTTGCTCTGCTTTTGGCTGCTCCTGCTGCTGCTCCTGCTGCTGCTCCTGCTGCTGCTTCAACTCCAAATGTTTCTTTTATTTATGTGCTGTCACCGAAATTGAATTAGAAATCGCATGTTATGCCAGCTGCCCCAGGTAGTCTCTATTTATCCATAGCTCTCTCTCTGTCTCTCTCTTTCTCTCCATCTATCTCTATTCCCAGCTGCAGATATCCGCTGTGCTCTCTTTTGTGTGCTTGGATTTGTTTTATTAAGCTCTGAAGCATTTGCTATTGATGTGGTCACTGCATGTAGCCACACACTCAGTGTAGAACACTCTTCAGCTCATGACTGTCTGTAAATGAGGGAAACAACTTGAAATCGTTTTATTTCTGATTGTTCGGCAAACATTGGACGATGTTATTTATATCCCTGTCGCAATAACCACATTGTGCCACATCTATTTTCAAACTTTCTCTGGCTGCTCCCAAACAAGTTCCCAAAATAGCTTATGCCAGTAGGAGCAAGGATGCCCAGTTCCAGTGCCGTTCACAACAATCGATAGTAGCATTGCTTATTTAGTTTAGCTTTGGCTTTAACAAAGTCTTTAAAAAGACAAAAGTATGTGTGGAGTATCTTCAGTTTCCAGGGAAACGCTTTGCATTTGCAAGATATTGCAATTTCAACTGCATTGTCGGCTGCACGTTTAGTGCTTTAATTAGATTTCATTTAGAGCCTGTCTCCTTGGCGCTGGCACTCCTGCGAAGCTGCTGCTGTCCTGGCCAGCTGGCGGCTGCTTGCCGTCTGCCTCCTGCCTCCTGCCAGCAATGTGAACACTGATACCGACACCGACAAGGAAACGAGCACGAACGTGGCCTGTTGACAAGAGAGCGCTCTGTCCCTCTGTCCCTCTGTCTCTCCGTCCCTCTGTCTCTGTCGACATTTACGTCTTGCTCTCGCGGCGTTCCCGCCGTGCCAGTTCCGGTATCCTCAAACGGAAAAATTTGTGCGCTTTTTGCGTGAAAAATGATGGAAAATAATTTGCAAGCGCTGAGGACTTCCACCAAACTCTAACTGAAGCCCGAACGTGCGTTTGACGTGGCCATTTGCTGCACCTTTTTTGCCCAGCGAAGCCCTCGACGTTGGTTACCTGGTTACAGCATTGCTTGTGTTTACTCTTTGCCATTGTCCCCCCTAAGCTCTCTGTTTCCCCCTCCTGCTGGAGGCTGCGCTCCGCCTCGCTTCGCTTCTGTGTGTTTAGGTGAAATTTATTTTACTAATTATTATGTAAGCGCTCCAGCGACGGGCATTGTGTAATGAAATTAAAGCGTTTCCCTCCGAAGAACTGTCAAATGCACACAAATGCTTAAAGCAGAGCTAGCTGGGCTTAAAGCCCAGTTCCGAATACGGTTTATTTATGCATGCGGTCTCTATAAAATTATTTGCTTAACTCAATTTTACTTTACTTCATTTCATTTTATAAACTCCCCGGGCGCCCGACAATGTGAACAGCGCAATAAATTTATACATGCAACGAAAATAAGAGATCAACAGCAAAATGCGAGCGCACAAATTTTTATATAGCACTCTGGGGATAATCAGCAGCAACAACAACGGGCCATAGCAGAAGCTAATGTAAAGTCCAACAGCAGACACATAAAAATGAGAATTTATGCAACGCTGGCAAAGTAGCCACCGCAGGGAGGGAGCCAGACGTGGGCCGGCCCGTCGCAGTGGGCGCTCAATGAGCCAGGTGACGCAGGTGACGGTTTGCATTTGCGACTATGAAACAACAGGCATAACCTTACCTTTATAAATAAAAATAACAAATTAAATTAAATTAAACAATAACAACAAGAGCCATAAACAAGCCGGCCGCACATGCCGCCGCTTGGCTATGGAAAAAGTTCATAATGAAGCTGTATAAATTGAATAATTTTATATATACACACATACATATACATATATATTTATATATGTATATTAATTTAACATTTTCGTTCAGCATAGCTTTTGTTCAATCACACACACACAAACACTCACGCATTTATGTATATGGAGTGAAATTATAGCCCGCTTTGCAACACTGGCCATAAAAACTGCGTTCTGTTTCACTACGCTGCAAAACGCAGTTAAATGCTGCGTTTAACAAAAGCCAACAATAATTTCGCGCATTTTAATAATAAATATATGCATATACATATAAGCGAATATATTTAAATATTTTCGTATTTTATTCATATATAAATAATGCACATTTTTTTCAACGCGTTTTTTTCTGAGGAATCGCTCATGAAATTTAAATGAAAAGAAAAGATATTCAAATAATTGCAACGAAAATAACTATGAGTGGTGTGTACACATATCAGAGCAGGATATATGTTTTATCAAACAATCATATTAAGACCAATTAAAGAATAAATAAAATTGTAATCTTTGTACAAAAACTTGGCAAATCTAGTCTCAAATTGGTAATTTTTGTTGCCCACTCCAGCTGTAGTTCCATGGAAACCCTCAACTCCCGTAAGCCTTTCAAAAAATTCAAAATTCTGATGTCAGATTTGTGTTTTATTTCGTGATAATTTAAAAAGTTTGCTTTTTACGGTCTTTTAAACGCATGACGCCTACTTATGCAATTCCGAACTCTGCTGCTCCAACAGCTTGGCAAGCCCCGCCGCCGTCAGGCAACAATAAAGCCCCAAAACAAAGTTTGAAATGAGCAATTAAAATTTTATCTTCCTGCACGATACTTAAGCTTAATATGCTAAATGCTTACGGCTTTTACTGTCAGTCGAAACTGTCAGATAACATGCTCACACATCAATTCCAGCAGCGTGAGAGCTAAGCTTAAATTATTATTGTAAAAATCAATAAATTATTGTGCACACAAATAGTGCACACAAATATTTAAAAACAATCAAAAGTAGAACAGTTTGAATAAATAATTTTAATTAAAATGTGGTCTGACTGAAACGAATGGGGCATAACTGATCAGCAGATGCCCTGCAATATATGCTGCAGCCTTGTCTGATGTACTTGTATAGTGGCAGAGCTTACTGGATTAATAATCTATTCATTGGATTCACCTACTATATCATATATCATATATGAATAGATCCAGTTAATATCTTCATTCATCATATTATAATATATATTTAAGGCATCATAACCAACACGTTTGCTCACCTGGTCTGTAGCCGTCGCTGTGCTCGTGCGCCTCGATTCCCTGGAGATGCAGGATGCCAATGATGAGGCACAAGATGAGCGGTGTGCATTTCATTGGGCTGGACTCCATTTTGTGTCGGTTGCTCTTCCGCTTTTGTTCTTCACTCACTGTGCCAAGTGGCAAATGTAAATGTAACACGTAAATTCTCTCTCTCTGTGTGTGTGTGTGTGAGTGGTATGTGGTGCTGTACAGGTGGAGAGCGGCTACATGGGCATAAAAAATGCAAATAAATTTGCTTCGCTTTATGCAAACATAATTTCAAATATGCACACACACACAGGCACGCTCACACATGCACAAGAACACACACACACAAATGATTTGCTGGCTTTAAGCGTGTGTGTGTGTGTGTGTGTGTGGGTGTTTGTGACACTTTCCCAGCTCGTTGTTATTGTTGGCTGTGTGATGTTTTTATTCACATATACATATGTATGCCTATATATATGTATATGTATGTGTATTTTTTGGTATATTTATATATTTTTTCTTGTGCTTCAATCCTTTTTGTTGTTGCTTTAATTTTTTCACTTAATTAAAAACTTTTGCGCTGCACATAAATTCATTTAAATATTTACAAACAGTCGTCCTTTTTCAGCTGATGTTGTTGTTTGTTCTTTATACTCTGTTTGCCTTTTGCTCCCACTGCTGTTGTTGTTGTTGTTGTTAATTTGATTGTTGTTGTTGTTGTTGGTGCTGCTGCTACTGTTGCTGTGTTTTTGTCAAAACACATAACCGTTAAGATGAATTTTTAATAGAATTTGACGAGGCGACGAAGCAACTTTAGTGGCACGCCTCCTGCCACGCCTACATCCACACACATACACACTGGCAGAGTCAAGCCTGGTGTGTGTATGTGTGTGAGAGTGCGTTTATAAATATTTAAAATTAAAACGCGCACGTGTTGCACATTTTGAGCTCTCTCTCTCTCTCTCGCTCTCACTCTCTCTCTCGCTGTCTCTCAGTATCTGTCCGTCGATCTTTGAAGCTTGAAATTATATTTGAAGTCCGTACGTATAATATGCCGGCATGCGTATCATGTGCGCCACAGTGCCCGCAAATATTGTACAACAATCCACAACTGCAATTAGAATAAAATTGTTTCATGTGGTTAGCATAGAAATGTCAGAAAAACTCATTCGGGAATTCCGCTATTAATAAATGCACAAGCATTCGCCAGCCATTACGTAACGCCGGGGAACGTCGAGCGGGAGAGCTGGATGCCAATCAATAATGATAGATTAGCCCCGTCCGGCCATCACACACAAGGCTCGTAAATTATATGCCAGCCTGGTCTAGCCCAAAACAAATGAATAGGTCAGAAAAAGAGAAAAAAAAAAAAAACTGGAAAGGAAACTTTTCGCACAGCGCATTAATTGGGAAGGACGCGTGGGCCGGGCTGTGTGGTCGCACGTGCCATGTAAACATGCCAGATGAAGTTATCCCAGTTATACGCAATCGAAATGTCAATAGGTTCAAATTGTGCTCAGGTACTCAGGCACATGCTCATGTGTTCCATTGCACTGTCTCGCTCGCTCTCTCATATACAAGTCTGTATATCCAGCTCTCTCTCTCTCTCACTCTCTCTCTCTCAATGTTTACACGGGGCCTCTTCGGCTGACAGGCTCGACTTGCCAACTACAGGTAATTGACAAAGGAGTCATGAAAACTTTGACTTGAAAGTTTCGCCACGTTTTTTGTTTAACACGCAGCTCGAACAAGCTGATAAACTTGCATGACATTCCGGTGACTGCCACGTCGCAGCCCCAAGTTCACATCCCCAACATTCAGCTGGCATCAAGCATCACACGCACACACACACACACATTCACCTATTTTTCCCATTAGCCAAGTTGGGCTTCCTTGACTAAGTTTGCATTGGGTTATTAAGAGCTGTGCAAGTGTTTATTGAGAGAGATTGCGAGGAGCTGCGAACTTGCGGCTAAGTAGTTGTTAGTTGCTAACTAGTGTCAAACTAGCGCTACTTATTTGCAACTAGCAAGAGCCTCGAGGGCAAAAGTTCAGCCAAAGCCACAAAATATAATGATTAAAAAGATAAGCTCGAGCACTGTCGCGCTGCAGCAGCTGCTTTTCAATTCTCAGCAAGGAGCTAATTAAGTTGTGTTTATTTTCACTCTTTAAGCGGCATTTGAATGTTAATAAAATTTATTTAATACTTAATATATCATACTTATTACATAAGCATAAATATTCTCTCAAATTAGGCTAGTCGAAAAAAATAAATTAATAAATAAATATCAAAAATAATAATAAAAATAATAATAATAATAATAATAATAATAATAATAATAATAATA